GGCGGTGGGAGGAGGGCTGCCGGCGGAGGAGGTAGGAGGGGGCGGCCAGAGGCGAAGGGAGAAGGGCACGGTGGGAGGAGGAGGGAGGAGGGCACGGTGGGAGGAGAAGGGACGGAAGGAGGGAGTACCTTGGTGGCGGACGGACGACGGCGGAGGTGGCGACGGACGATAGGTATCGGCGCGGGCGAGAGTGACTGAGAGGGAGAGTGAGTGAGAAAGAGGGTCGACCGCGTGGGGGATAAGATAGGGTTAGTAGTAGCGCGAGTAAGATAAAAGCACTACAGCTAAGGAGAATAGCAGTAGCGTTGCGCGAGGATACGCGCTACTGCTAAGTTGGGCTAGCCGTGTGCGCTCAGTTCAGACATAGCAGCAGCGCTTTTTGCCAGTTATAGCAGTAGCGCGGTTTGTTTGTACGCGCTGCTACTAAGTAGCAGTAGCGCATGATTTTGTCCAGCGCTACTGCTAAAGATGTTGTGTATAAGGTTTTTCCTAGTAGTGTTATCATATTAAAATCCAAATATATATTGCTGCAATTTTATTTACATTATTTTATTTTGTGTTTTTTTATCTATCTAACACTACGAGATTTGATCCTTCCAATTAACTGCCAAAGTATTGACAACCCTTTGTTTGTGTTGGGTGCAAGTATTTGTTATTTTGTATGTAGGTGTTGTTCACGAGACGTTGCGTAGTTCTCCTACTATATTGATAACCTTGGTTCTTAACTGAGGAAAATATTTGTCTCTACTATACTGCATCTTCCTTTCCTCTTTGAGGAAATCTCAACGCAGCTCCTCACAAGTAGCAATCACTACTTGTAGCATACACATGTTTTGCCACGCTCCTTTTTTCCTACAAAAATTGGTAGACCAATGAAATGTTTCTATGTAACCAACTTAAATCCCTTCCTCACTGATCAAATGACCACCCCTGAATATTTGGGTGGGCCTTTGCCCCCAAGTAATGGCCAATGAAAAAGAATTACCAAATCACCCATGTAATGAGCACATGCATACCCCGTCGTTTGTGTCAACTAGGGTTTCCTCAACCTCTCGTCGGCAACTATTTATCGCATTCAGTGAGGTGAAAGGGGATCTCTCGCTGAAGCGACTGCAGCTATCGGGCTAGCCCATTCGTGATTTTTTGACGAAATAGTGTAAACAAGGGGAAGGGCTCGCACAGGGGGGTCGGTCCCGCGATCTGCTGGCTACTACGCAATAGTGTTGCCGCTGAGCTAACAACAAGTTCTTGTCCAATAAGCAGGTCATGGCTTACTAGAAGGAGAAGAGCAGGGTATTTTGTTTTTCTTCTGTTTTCTCGGGTTTTTTTGTTTTATTTTATTTTTTGTTTGGTTTTCTTATTTTTTTCTCCAGTTCTTCTTTTTACGTTGTTATACTTTGGTTTTTTCTTTTTCCTTTTGTGTTGGTTTCTCTTTTTTTTAATTGTTTGTATCCATATTTTTTCTTTCTCCTTTTTCTTCATTTTTTTGTTTTGTCTTGCTTTTTTCTCCTTTCTCATTATTTTCCATTTTTCTTTTCTCTTTTCCATTTGTTTATTCGGTTTTCTTTTTCTTTTTCTTTTTTCTCTGGTTTATTTTTATTTCTACACATTTTTGAATACATGGTCACATTTTCCCTACACATTTGTAACATTTTTCAAATACTTGCTCAACATTTTTTATATATTTTTAACATTTTTAAATGCTTGATTAAAAGATTTCAAATAAAAAGATTATCTATTTTTTAATAAACGGTCAACATTTTTTCTATACACATTTAACATTTTTCAAACACTTGTTGAACATTTTCTTCAAATGCTTGATTAACATTTTCATATACATGATAAAAAAGTCATGATTTTTTCAATACATTGTCAACAATTTTAATATACACATTTAACTTCTACAAATGCATGATTAATATTTTTCAAATACTTGTTCAACATATTTTTTTCAAATACTTGTTTAACATTTTTATATACATAAACAACTTTTTTTGAAATAATTCTTCGTCATTTTTCAAATCCTTACTCAACATTTTTTAAATAGTTGTTCAATATTTTTCAAATACTTGTTCAAATTTTTTGAAATACTTGTTCAACATTTTTCAAACACATGTTCAATATTTTTTTAAATGCTTGATTAACATTTTTATATACGTGATCAACATTGTTTTATATACTTGTTCAACATTTTTCAAATGTGTTTTGTAGATTGTTTTATATACGTGATCAACATTGTTTCATATATCTAAAAAATATTTTAAAGTATAAATGGAAGTACAAACTAAAGCAAGAAAACGAAATCAGAATGTGTAAAAAAAACAGGAAAGGGAGGCGGTGGCCTTCCGCACGCGTGGGCTGGGCCAACTCGCTCACTTCTTTAGCGAGTCGGAAGCTAAACTCGCTGAAGGAGAGATATAGGCAGGCCCATCCTTTCCGCAGCGAGCGGCAAATAGGAGCTCCCTGTTATGTGTATAAGGCTGAAAGTTATAGCGTTTGAAACTGCAGGCCAGTACAGCGGGAGGGCCCCTGTCTGCTTATAGCGTGATGAAGCATTTCCAGCATAAATAGGCAAGACCCATTGAGGAAGGAGCGATGTGTCTCTTGCACTCGTTTTCCCCTTTTATTTTCTTTTTATTACTTTTAGTTCTATTTATGAAAGGAAAAAAAATACTTATATTTAAAATTAAGCTCACTGCGGGGTTAATTTTTTAGTGCTTTGTTTAACAAATATCCGTGCAAGTTTGTAAAAAAAAATGATGATAAATTTAAAAAAAATGTTCATGACATCTAAAAAAGTTCTCGTGTTTAAAAATCATGTTCCTGATGTTTTTAACAAAATTCAAGGAACTTAAAATGTTTGGTAGCATTCAAACAAAATGTATGTGACATTTTATAATATGTTCATATGTTTCAGAAAATGTGTTTGTGGCATATTTAGGAAATGTAAAAAATGTTTATGTAGCTAAAAATGTGCTATATAATTAAAACAAAACCGACGTGGCTTAGAGAAATATGTCAAACACATATTTAAAAAATATTCAGGAACATATATTTAGAAAAACATTAATAATTTCTAATAAAACATGTATAAAATCGTTCCTGATGTATACAAAAAATAAAGAATGTATTTATTTAAAAGGAAGTTCACTGCACGCTCAAAACAATTTTAGTGCTGTGTTAAATAAATGTTTGTGTAAAATTTAAAAATTGATGATAACATTAAGAAAATATTCGTGACATCTAAAAATGTTCTCGTGTTTAAAAACCATGTAGCTGCATTTGAAAATAGACAATGTAAGAAAAATTCAGCTAACTCAAAAAATGTTTCGTGGCATTCAAAAATATGTGACATTGAAAACCAGTGTCCTCATATGTTTTGGTAAATGTGTTCATGGCATTTTTTAGGAAAATTTAAAAATGTTCACATTGTTGAAAAAATTGTTTATCAGTCAGAGAAATGTTCAACATGTATCTGAAAAAATGTTGAACATATATTCGAAGATGTTGAAAAGCATATATTTAAATATATTAATTTACTGAAAACATATATTAAATATTCTGATGTGTACAAAATTGTACAATGTCTATGAATGAAATGTAGACATCCAAGTATGTATTTGAAAAACTTATTAATCATGTATTCGAAAAATGCTAACCATGTTTTAAAATATTCTTTATGCATTCAAAAAGGTACAATTTATATGAAAAAAAGTATACATATATTGGAAAATCCAAACAACCAGTAAATAAATACAAAAAAAGAGAAATCCAGCCACAAAACAGACGTAGAAGACTGTCCAAAACCTACATCAAAAAATAAAAAAGGAAAATAGAAAAAATAGAAGAAAACCAAGAAAACCTGACAAAAGAAACTTTCAAAATCGGCTTGAAGCAGTCTATAGAACCTTCCTAAAACCCTTTAACGGGACAACCAACTCAAATAGAACGAAGCCCTTGCGTTAGATGTTTGTATTGTTGCTCTGGCAATAGGCGAAGAATAGCTGTAGCGGTGCGACTTCCGGTCAGATAACATGATGTTCTTTTTTTTTTAACATGTCACTAGCACAAATGTTTAGTATAAACTGTGGTAGATGTCCAACCCACACCTCACTGTTGTCCCCTAATTGAGCGCTACGCAGAGCTAGTTCATGAGCTACTACATTACTTGATCTTGGTACATCAGATATTTTAGAATTTTCCAAACTAGCACACAACATGACTCTTATTTTCTCTAAATAAAGCACCTAGCGGCGTGATGTTCTTGGGCAAATCAAACAACAAAAGAACGCTGCTAGACAGCTGACGAGTTCTGGACGATTTTCACAAGATATAGCGTATCAAGCTGTCCATGCGTAGAGAAAAGTGAATATCAGTGTTCAACTAGAAGTCGGTGCCATCGGTGGGAAGCTGCTGGTGGCCGGGCCGGACCATGAACAATCCCTCATATACTAGCCCCGCGAGCAGGCCACCGACCATCGGCCCAACCCAATAGACCCACTGACTGGCCCAATTCGCTGAGGCGAGCGCGGGCCCGAATGAACGTGCCGGGTTCATAGACGCGCCGGAGAATGGCCCTCCGGCGAGCACGTTGGCGCCGACGACGAGGCCCACCAGTAGCGGTCCGAGGTTGCCGACGCTCCGGCGCGGGTCCACGACGGTCGCGTACACCGTGAAGAGCAGCGAGAAGGTGAGCACGGCCTCCCAGAGCACCCCCTGCGGCGCGCCCACCCCGGCGGCCAGCGCGTGCACTGGCATGGTCACCGCGCCGCCGGTGAGGAAGGCGAGGAGGAGGCAGGCGAGGGAGGAGCCGAGCAGCTGCGCGAGCACGTAGAGCGCGGAGCGGAAGAGGGTGATGTGGCCGCCTGCGGCGAGGGAGAGCGTGACGGCTGGGTTGATGTGGCCGCCGGAGACGTGAAGCCCTGCCGACACCATGACGGCCACCGCCATAGCGTGGGCCAGCGCGACCGCCGTCAGGCCCATGATCGTGTCGGCGCCGCCGGCCAGCCTCCCTGCACACACATAACACATGTACTTGTAGTTCCAGACTCTCGGTACACATGCATGCATGGACGCGTTTCCAGCCATCACTGTACTACATACGTACCGGCGGCCATGACGGAGCCGACGCCAGAGAAGACGAAGAGGAAGGTGAGCACGGCCTCGGCGAGCACGGCGCGCACGCAGCCGGCCTCGGTGACCTCGCTGTGGTGCCCTAGAGCAAACTTCGCCATGTGTACGCTACGTCCCCGCCTCACCTCGGTGGCCTCGCTGCTCTGTCGTGGCGAGATGATCACACGTACGCCGAGAGAGCGGCCCGAGTTATGAGTAGTCTGCTGGAAGCTGGAGTGCAGGAGGTCACGGTTATATACAAAGGCAGTGCGTGTGCGCAGGATAGGACAAGGAGGCGGGAAATGGTGGAATTGCTGATGCGTGCGTAATAACGGAGGACGGTTAGCAGCTGGGTCTCACGCGAGAGGCACCGCACACGCTCAACTTCAGAAAAATCTTGGATGGAAAAGCAAATCTCCACCTACTATACATGCTAGGCAGTAGGCACCAAGCTGAAAATTGGAAGCAATGTATTTCTCCTGGACACGCAAAATTAAAGCTTTTGCTGGGCGAACGCCCTAATACGGGTTGCAAAGCGGGTTCGATGAATACAGCATCATTTTTATTTTGCGGGGATACACGATGATGATGATGATGGACATTTCGCGGTGCAGCACCATCACCATGCAATGCAAAGTGGACTCTTGATCTCCATAACAGCACCTAACATGACATAACTGAGAACAAGAGCGACATTCGGTGTGGTCGCGGTCGATCCGACGGCAGGCAGCATCACCAGCAAGCAAGCTCTAGGTGCAGGAGCACTTCATTCAATTAATGCAATGAACAATCCGACTCACTCTGAGTTTACACTTGGTATTTCAGTGTAAATAGGCTTTTTTTTTTCAAGTAGGATTGGCACGCTGTTCAATCAAGAGACTCACGCAGCCTATCATTAGGTTTTAGACAGCACGATTTGTATAGAAACAAAGCAGCTTTTGCCTTTCGCGAGCTCTTTCGGCGTCTCGTTTGGCCATTTGCGAGACAGAAAAGCACAAGACCAACACAAGGGAAGAAAACGGATTGAGACAAAGGAAGCTCTGTGGTCACTAGGCCAGTGATCCCAGATCTTTTGTGATTTAACCCAACGTAGGGAAGGTGGCAAGCAACGGTTCACATTCAAAAATCAACAGGGACACTGGCTAATACAGGATGCCACCACTCACTGGCGTGCAGATTGCAGAATGTCCACAATAACACAAGCAGAGCCACACGGTCAAAACTATAGTCCTCTTTTTATATGCTTCTGCAATACTACATCGGTTCTCTTTATATGCTTCCGCTGTATATACGGACAGGCGCCGAGTACATACGTAGGCCGTCGGTTGGTCCACAAAAGATGAAAAGACGAGCAACTCGTTGAAGCAATGGCGTCTCAAATAAACCAGGCCCTCTTCCTCATGGGGGACGAGTTCGTCGCTGATGAGATCCTCGCCCGGCTGCCAGCCCGCCACGCCGTGCGCTGCGTCCTTCTCTCCAACCGCTTCCGGGAGCTCCTCACGCTACCACACTTCTGGCGCCACCACCGACGCCTCGGCGCACACTCGGAGCTCCCTCGTGCCGCTTGCCTGTACCGCCTCGACAAACGCTTCTACTTCCACGCCGTCGGCCCCACGTTCGCCGTCAAGCACACGGTCAGCCTCGACAGAGGCACGTACGCCGGCACGTGCGACGGGCTGGTCCTCTTGGCCGACGATTCCGCCCATTCCAATGGGCGGCCGGCCGTCGACGGCGTTGTCTTCAATCCGGCCACCAAGGAGGAGGTGCGGTTCTCCCTGCCGTTGCCGCACGCCGGAGAGGGCGTTGACCGCCGCTTCCTAGGGTTTGGAAGGACGGCCTCGTCAGCACGGCTTTAGTCGCGCCCAAGCCCAACTCATGGTGGTGCCGCTGGCTGCCGCGAACCGAGGACGGTGTTCTCATCGGACCATGAGCTGCTTTGTGACCACAGCTAGCCTGCACATGGGCGACGGCAAAGCCACTACAAGGTATGAAACTCCAAAGCCACTACAAGGTATCTTTGTCCCCGCTTCGGTGGAGCTTTGGGATTACCAACCGACGCTCATATCTCCGGCGAGCATCTTCGGCGGCGCTAAGTTCCCCGGCCGTCGTGAAAGCTTTACGCTCGACAATGAGTTGGAAGAGGTGCTGCTAGAGGTGACGCGGAAGGTGATTGTAGATCAGGCCATGCAAATGCTTTCCATGGCAGGAGCTCCACAGCCCGCCAAAGTGACGCACACGATGGCTATCACTGACGCCGGTGGACACCAAGCGGACCAAGAGGAGAAGACAGACGCAAAGGACACAAAATGAGTTGTGCAAACATCCGTATGCCTCTGTTTGATGTGGTAACAAGAGTGTTCAAAGTTCAGACCCGGTTTCGTTCCAGTACTGTTATGTGAATTGTTGTTAAACCATGTGGAAAAAAACAACTAAAAAGGGTAAAGAGTCAATATGTGCCAGGCTTGTCATTGTTACTCATACTTCAATCAATGCTTGTAAATCATATCTTTCCTAGTACTCCGTTTTTGTTTTTGTTTCCGCATAAAAAAAATTCATTTCCATTTTTTGCCAGAAAAGCAGAAAGTTTCCACTCTATTTTCATCCCTACTCTATATCACTGTGGCTATTCAGTGGTCCTGTCCTATAAAGTGGACATCGAGCAAGAGGAACATTTCGCTCCGGCGCAGTAGCATGCAAACCGAACTCCGTCTCCACCACGGCACCTCACATGTCAACTGAACTGAGAACCACACTCGATGTGGTCGCGATCGATCAGACGGCAGGCATCATCACCAATCGAGCTCTAGGTGTAGGAAGGAACAATCTTATCTGGCTCACTCTACACTTCATATTTCAGTGTCAATAGTTTTATCTCCCCAAGCAGGATCGGCAGAGCTGCATCGGTGCACTTACACTCAAGAGGTTTTCGACACTGACTTTGTACAGAAACAAAGCAGCTTTTCGCGAGCTCTTTCGTCGTTTCGTTTGGCCATTTGCGAGGCAAGACCATCGCAAGGAAACAAAACGGATAGAGAGAAAAGCAGCTCTGAGGGCACTAGACCAGTGATCCCAGATCGTCTATGAGTTAACATAACCTGTGCACTCGTTACCGTGCACAATGTCCACAACAACAGAAGCAAAGCCACGCGACCAAACTACAGATTCCATGACGGCAAAAAAGACCCGGTACCGATCTTAAGGGCATAAGATACTGCGTCGCGATGTGTCGAAAGACACGGAGCTCACTCCGTCTGAGCCACCTCGGGCAAGGGGATCGAGCAGCAGCAATGGTAGTATCCACCCTTGTCAAACTTGAACCTCTGCGATAGGTGCACCGCCGGTACTGGGTACTCGCCCCAATCCTGTTCCCCGTATTGCCTGAATATATTCCGAGCATCGAACGAATCGTTTCTTCGGTTCGATTTCTTGCTGCAGTGAAAGAATGCAGGCAAGGTGAGACAACTGTGCATGTACAGCACATTACATAGATAGATGTGGGACAAACGGTTTGTTGCTCTCACCTCTTCCTGTGGCGCACATTCATTATGGTTGCATGCAACTGCGGTTTGTAAACAAAAGGCAATTTATTAGCACCAAGAATCACATTTTAAGGAGTATTGGATTTAATTAAATAACGGATACATAAAAATATCAACAATTATTTAAGCAAACAGATATGCAACAGAAGTTAACTGTAATACGTGTAACATTTATCCCAGAACACTCAAACTGAACTCTGACACCATAGAAGTGACCAGCTGACAGCCTAAATTGATCAGGATAGAACATCTTAGGGGTAAGAGAAAAAAGAATGTTTGATGTGATGTCACACAATGACACAAATGTATGGCTAGAGTTTGCATGACACGGTCTGCAATTTCAGCATGTTTTGGTAGACAAAACTTATGACTAAAATCAAAATAACTGATCATCAGCTTAATTATATATGCTGTCAAATGCGGAGTTAATTGGCAGAGCGATAGAGAACTACTTCCAGTTATACAGCTGCACTCACCCTCAATTCTTGTCTGGCATCCCTTTCAAGAACTAGGCCTGACTTGACGAAGGCTTCAGTTATTACCTCTGAGGAGGTGGAAGTAAAGAAGCAACATCCCAGAAAGATAGTTCAATTCTATGTGATAGTAATAACGAATGCTGAATTACTGAGAATGGTGTGGCATGCGCAAACTGCCACGAAGGAAATTATAAAGGTCTGACATTATTGCAAGGATACTGCAAGCACGGACAAGGCGTCCTTCTCCACCAACTTCCAGTACTGGAGCATATACAACCCTGGCCCTAGCTGGTGAGCCTTTCATGCATGTCTGAAACTATAACATTCATGTGATGTGAATCACCAGAAAAGACGTACAAAAATATCCAGAAATAAATAATACTGTTTCAAACGTCAGTTTTCCCATTCAGTAAAGCCATAGAAAGGAGCATTTTGAAGGAGTGCTCTAGAAAGTAGAATGAAATGCCTTGTTCTTTGGCTCGAACTTACAACCCACTAACTAGCCATCTATAAATCAGCTTCCCGTAGGGATACAAAAGGCAACTGTTCGACGATAAAATATTTCCAGCTCTAAAGGAAACTTACCAGACCCCTAAGTTGTATGGAGATAGGTCGGTTTTCCAAAGCAGCATTTACCTGGGAAGATACTGACTGCATTGACAAGACAGTGAATTAAATTTCTTCCTGTTGTCATCCAATAAAATCGTATCTTATGTGAAACGACAATACCTGGAGGATATCAGAAGCCTGGGCTATACGATCCTTATTCCACAACTTCAACATAAGAACTGTTAGGTGGAACGTTTTGGGTTTTATGAATATTGACTTGTCAATGCCGAACTCTGTAGGAAATTAATAAGAGCAGTTCAATGCCTGAATGGAGCAAAAATATTGTAATTTCGAAATGCATAGAACAATATTAATAATATCTAGCATCTCCAATACAGCACTAGCAGTCTAGCATACAATCAGACTACAAAATTGCGCAGTTTCTAGATATTTCTACTAGCTGTACTTTTTTCAGAATTCCAGATCTTTCTGTTGGATAATGAGCAACTAGTATTCACTGAGGGCCAAAGGCCAATACATATACATGTGTGGTAAAGTGCAGAAAACCCCTTATATAATGGGGATATACAGAAAGGGGACTATACACA